GGATAAAGACCTTCTTTTTCTTTCCTTGATGAAGGGATAAATAGAGACAATAAGGAGACTGCTTATCATGTGAATTACTGGTGTTTTAAGTGCAAGTTGCATAAAAAATTGCATAATTTATATAATTTAAATTACAAAAGTAAACATTCTCAATAACTCTTATTTATTAAGAGTATTTGACATTTTCATAGATTAAAAAAAAGACATTTGTCTTACCATTATAGTTCTGGAGGTTCTAACTCTTTTCTAATTCAACCTAGGATTTGTCTTTAATCTGTGCTTTAAAAGCACCATAAATTAAGAGTTTTGAAAAAAAAAATTAATTTATTAATTATTTAATTAAATTTATTTACACAATAATAATATTAAAATTAATATTTATTTTTATATTTTTTAAAAAAATATTTTTAACTTATATCTAAAAATATATATTAAAAAAATCCTTCTTGGTAAATACTACGTCATGCCTGCCAAAAAGAAAAAGCAGATCTTGCATTAAAGGCAATTTACAATCACCACTTTTCCAAAACGCGTTTTCAACTTTTCATCATTAGATTTTGGTGCTTTGGAATGAAGTTACCTCTCCCCGCCCCAACCTTAATTACCGAAAAAAAAAAGGGAAAAGAAAAACAAATATACAGACACTACTAGAATTCATGACTTTACCGATGAGAAAGCATGTCGAAAAGAATGGAAATCACGTCAGAAAAATCAACTTCCCACCTGAATCATGTCGGTAAACTTGTTGTCGTTGAAACTGGCCTCAGTAATTCATTTATCGATGTGGATTAAAGCTACGTCGGTGAGGAGACTGTCAATTACCGACAAGAAACATGTCTCCATCAGTAAGCCAGAATAGTACTATCAAAGATTTTTTCTTGTAATCCCGTCGGTAATTTACTGACGAAGATCACATCTCCAAGTATAGTAGTGCCTCTGAAGGTGTGCTACGTCGCTAATTCACCAAGGAAGAAGTTGTACGAAAATTTTAATTTACCGACAAGATTAACATCGGGAATGAAGAAAGCCATTTTTCATTTCGGCAGCTTACCGACGAAGATCACATTGGTCTAAGAGATTTCCAAAAGGAAATTAACAATTTAAGCCTCAAGTTAACGACAAAGGTAACATTGATAAAGAAAACCACTAAAATAATAAAAAAAAAGTTTCTTGAATTAATATTGAAATTAATATATATTTTTTATTTAATTCAATCAATTTACAGTTAAATATTAATTAATTCATAATATTTGATATCATAAGAAATAAATACAATATTAAAATTTTACAATATAAACAGAAAATTATTATGTTTATTTATTGAAATTAATTATTAAAACATAATTTAAAAAATAAAAACAATATAACAAACATAAAATATAGCTACATAATCCAAAAAATTAAAGATTACCTCAATCAAGTGAATAATTACACAATATAATTTCCTAAAAAAATGAAGAAACATAAATTTGGTTAGTATTTATATATATATATAT